GAGAGAGAGAGAGAGAGAGAGAGAGAGAGAGAGAGAGAGAGAGAGAGAGAGAGAGAGAGAGAGAGAGAGAGAATTGTACTTGCAGCCTTGCAGGAAGGAAGTGTATTCCTGGTCAGATACATCAAGTCCTCTGCCTGTGCTGAAAGGAAAAGTTACGAGCAAGTAGCTGGGTTAAAATTGGTATATAAATCTTTTTGAGAAAACTACGGCGTAGTGAGGGGGTTCTAGTTTGAAAATGCAGTTCAGGCTAAAGGCCTGAAAACGTCTAATCCATCTTCCATAGGGCCTCGCTTCACTACTCTCGACATGCACAAAAGACTGAAATCCTGGAGGTGTATATCTCCATGTTCTAGTGTAAGATTCACTCTCGTTGTGCACATTTCGAGAGTGACTTTGCCATGGGGCCTCGCTCCACTTCAGTAACTCTCTAGATACACAAAAGACTGAAATCATGGCGATGTATCTCTCCATGTTCTAGCGTAAGATTCACTCTCCTTGTCCAGTTATCGGATCAGGACCAATCCTTGTAACTCGGTTCCTATTCAGGAATGGAGATCTAGTGCCTGCACCGACTAATGTCTGTTCAAAATCCCCATTGGACTCATGTACCTTCCTGGGCATGCTTGGCACCCTCCACCTAGGCCGTGGTCCCACTAGCAAAGGGGATAGGATAGAAACCCTGAATCTGGCCATGCTTACTGCAGAGATACAGAAAAGAAATTCGATCTCGATTTCCTGCTCCTGTCCTCAAACGCGTCCAGATTCAGGCATTCAATCCGACACTCATTGCTAATGGGACCATGGTCCTAGAGATAGACCACTGGATCCCCCGATCGGATCGGCATTGAGCAGAGTCTGCTGATGTTCGTATGGTGGGGGGGACCACCACCTGAAGGGAGGCACAGGGATTGGTCCTGTTACCATGCTCCCTGATGCTACGGGCTGTCCCCTGGCTGGGAATATCACCCACCTGCAGGTAGGGAGCAGCCCCCACATGTTCTCTCGTGAACACGGTTCTGGCTGCTACGGGGTTATCCGTATGCCTACAATTAGGAGAAGTGGTAGGTAGGTACGGTGTGCGGTGAAATTGAGAGAAGAATATAGCTTTATATAATTAAAAAAAAAAAAAAAAAAAAAAAAGTGCAGGGGCAGTGGCATCTAAAGAAAAGGGCTGGACCACACAGACAGGCACTCCGGGGGCCAAGTCCCACTAGCAGCGTTGAGCTACCTCAACGCCTGAATCTGGACGTGTTTGTGGAGACGTGCAGTTCAGGAAACTCGACACCATTTCTGCACATCTCAGCAAATTTTAAAGCCTCCAACATTTCAGGCGTTGAGGTAGCTCAACGCTGCTAGTGGGACTTGGCCCCAGGAAAAGAAAGAAGGAAAAGGCACTCAGCAAACCTGCGTCAATGTGTGCACATTGAAGCACAAAAAGTTTTGCCCTCCATGCGAGGGGGCGTCGCCACTACTTCTATACCTAAATAGGAAAGCGGAAACGCACACTATTTCCATACCTACATGACAAACACAAAAGGATTTTTGTCCTCAGATGTTACGTACATCAGCCAAGGCTCTTCTTGCTTGGCTGTTTTCTTCACTGATCAAATTGTTTTCGTTTGACCGAAAACCAGTTTCATCCACGGGAGAGCAGCCTCCTCCCTCAACCCCTCTCCAGCAGGACATCTATCATTTCTCCAGGCCTCTGTTAATCCCCAGTTTCAGCACCTCTCTCTCTCTCTCTCTCTCTCTCTCTCTCTCTCTCTCTCTCTCTCTCTCTCTCTCTCTCTCTCTCTCTCT